CGTGTGCGAGGTGGTGGGAGGGAGGGCGGCGTAGCCACCAGGATGTGGTTGAGCAGGGTGGTCTTCCCGCTCCCAAGGAAGCCGGTGAGGACGGTGACGGGCACGAGGTTCTCGTTGTCTTCAGCTGAAGCAGCCATCTGGGCCTCGTCCAGCCGCCTCTTGCTCCCACACAGCACTCAAAAGAATTTTGAGCCTTACCAACCGTAGAAAAGAGATACGTAGATCCCTCCCTTGGGTTGTGTGTTTTCTTTCTTTCTTAGAGATACGTAGACCCTTGGGCTGTCTGTTTTTTTCTTTCTTTCTTTAAAGAGATACGTAGAGGGAGACTCCCCACTTTCTCTTCCCACGCTAAGCGAGTTATTTCTTTCTTTCTTTCTCAGAGCTACAGGTCAGCCGAATTTAAGATTTGAAGGCGGGGAGTCCGTTAGCCTTAAAATCTTGAAAATGTGTGAACGGACAGCTAAAATCTTGCGAAAATGCGCCCCAGAGCTCTAAAATCTTGGTCTAAAATCTGAAAATCGCCGGCCTGCGGCCGGCCTCTAAAATCTTAAATTCGGCGGACTTGTATGTGCGCGCTCACCCGTTGCTTGGTGTTGCTGGCTACTCTTGAGTCCTCCTGGCTGCTCTCCGCCCACCAGCCGGCCACAGGCCGCCACCCTCGCCGGCCGGCGTCGAGAGAACGGCCAGACTCGACCGACTCTGTGTCGCGCCGCTGCCTGCTTCTCGCGCCGCTGTAGCAGCGCCAGCAGCTCGGCCGCGCATCCTTCACACACGCTGCTACAACCAAGCTGAGCGAGCCCAGTGTCGAGATCTGGTGTGAGCTGCATGTGCGCGGCGGCCGTGGCGACAGCAGGTCCACCAGACGGACCTCAAAGCTTGCCGTCGGCGTGCTGTCGTGGCGAGAGCGCGAGACCGCTGCAGAGGAGCCGAGTGCAGTGGCGAGCCAGAGGCTACCAGGGCCACCAAGTGGTAGCCCATGCCAATTCTGATCAGGGCTGTGCTTTGGTGGGGTTGTGTTTGAGCATGTGTGAAGTGGGAGTGCGTGCCAGCGGTGTCTGTGGGTGAAACAGGCGTGTGTGAGGCCGTAAGAGCCGTGGTATGAGCCAGAGTGGGCTTCATCACCCAAAATAAGGACGGTTTGGGAGAGATCAGACTTGATACTGATGGGCCTGGGCCAGGAGAGCGACAGAAAAGGCGAGGTGGTGAGCTGGGAAGCCGCGACGTCGGCACCTGGACGTGTCGCGATGAACTGCCGAAAAGCACTGTTTGCGGCTATTGCTCAAAACTTCGGGAGACAAGGCCTACATATTATGACTGCATCCATGCGCCTGGTGCATGAGGGCTGCGGGTCGGGACATTTCACGGTCGGTGGCGCCGGTGATGGCCTCCGGAAAGCCCTCGCAATCGCCTCGGATGGGGTCCACCGGGGCGCCATCTCGAGCCCTCTCCGTGTCATCACGAGCCGGTGTGAGCTTGCAGACCCGAGATAAGTGCGGTCTGGGACGGCTCAGACGTGCTACTGATGGGCCTGGGCCAGGAGGGCGACAGAGAAGGCGAGGTGGTGAGCTGAGAGGCTGGAGCGTCCGCGTGTGACCTTGTCGCGATGCAAGTGCCAAAAAGCGGCTCATGCCCCAGGCGTGCCAGCACCGCCGTTCTGCGCGGGCTCGGCGCCAACCTCGGCTCTCCAGAGGGAGCCGGCGAGGACCCAGCGCGGCCGGAGCTCGTCCGCGCCGACCCACCGCTGCTGGCCGTACCGCTCGGAGGTGACGAGGAAGGACGGCTCCTCCTCGCCCGTCGCGGGGCGGCGCTCGAGCAGCCGCACCTCCCACCAGCCGTCCTTCCACCTACCTGTGTTAGTGCCAGTGCGCGCCAGTCCCGTGCCCAGTGTATATAAATAAATAAATAAAACGGACACACCAAACAAGGGGTGGGAGAAGGACAGGGTCCCCACCTGCGCGAGCAGGATCTTGTAAGGACGATGTTGTGTGAGGCAGTCTGCTTGTTAAATTCTTCTCGCCAGCGGCCGTCACGGCCGGCCGCGAAGAGTTAGCTGCGCGCCTCGCCGTCACGAGCCCAGGCCGTCACGAGCCCACGCCACCTTCTCGGCTCCAGCCGGCATCGCAAAGGTTTCTTAGCCCAGCGAACTCCATGCTGCGACAGCTCGCGTGGCGCGGCGCGGCGCGGTTGCGCGCTCCGTTTCCCCGCCAACCGCTGCCGGCGGCCGCGCTCTACTCGCTCGAGCGGCTCGGCTATGCGGTGGTCCCCGGTTGGCTGCGCGCTGCGGACACCGCTGCTCTGCTCGCGGACGCCCTCGCGTTGGAGGCGGCCGGAGTGCCGCGCGCCGCCGGGGTGGGCGGCGTCGCAGAGAGCGAGAGCTCTGATTGGGCGGTCGAGCTCAAGACCGAGCTGAGGAGGGCAGCTTCGGTGTGGATCCACGAGCCGCCACTCTCGCTGCACGGCGCGCCGGCCGCTCGGCTGGCCCTGCTCAGCACGGCCGAGGCGCTTAGGGCCGAGCTGCTCGACGCGGGCTGCACAGCGCGGCCCCTCGACACCGAGGCGACGAGCCTCGCCTACCTCTACTACCCCGCGGGTGGCTTCTACCGGCGCCACCGCGACACGCCGCCGGCGCCGTCGCCGACGGGCGAGCACCGCGAGGTCAGCTTGCTGCTCTACCTCGACCCTGTGTGGCGGCCGGACTGGGGCGGCGCGCTGCGTATCTTTGCTAAGCCCGCGCCGGTGGACGTGCAGCCCGAGGCGGGCACACTCGTGCTGATGCACTCCCCGCTGCTGGAGCACGAGGTGCTCGAGACTTCGAGGGCTCGCCACTGTGTCGTGGGCTGGCTGTGCTCCGTCACCTGACTGAGTGTGTGTGCACCCTGTTGTCGAAATGATCATGGTGGTTGTGACGTGTATCGCGCAAGTGAGAAGCATGGTGAGAAGTGTTAAACATCATAGCGGGTGGGTAGGCCCTAAAACGGCGGGAGGGGTAGGGCTATATCGACAGAGCTTGAGGGCTCACCACCCCTCCACCCCCCTCCACGCTCCTCCCGTCGGATCGGCGTCGGGAGGGCTCCACAGGGTCCCATAGGGCTAGCGCGCTGGGAGGGGTAGGGCTATATCGACAGAGCTTGCCCGAGTGGTCGCTCACTCACGCACCGAGTCCCACTCACTCAGGGATGTATGAATGTATCGAAGGCGAAAAACAGAGTGTTGTTGTGGTGTTTGGAGAGAGAGAGAGATTTTTGTTTGTGTCACGCGCGCGGGCGGCGCGTCGGCGACGTCGCGCGGTGCGAGAGCGTTACCGAGAGATGAGCCGAGATCCTGAAGAGATGTGCCTGTCCCCCCAGACCTCCGGGGCGGAGCTCTCCCCCCTGTCTCTTATCCGATGGACACCTCTCCTGTTCTTCAGGAGGCGCTAGCCCCTTCGACGCGACCGCGATTTCTTTTTGAGGTCCGGTTTCTTTTCTTGGGGCCGGGGTTCCGCCGTCGAGAGGCGCACTCTTCAAGGAGGCGGTGGGCGTGTGGGAGGGGGTCGGCGAGGGCGAGGTGGCGGCGCGGAGGCGGGCGGTCGACGCGGCGGCCGGCGCAGGCCAACACAGAGACGGACAGACAGACACGCGCGCGCACACGCACGCGCGCACACACTCACGCTCACTGCTCACGGATTTGAGCATTGCCCCCGGGGGCTCCAGCCTCGCGACATCGAGGCGTGAGTGATGGACTAGCCCTCGCGCCGTGTGGAGAAGGTGGGGACGGTGACCGCACCTCCCCTCACCCTAGGCGGGGCTGGCCGCAAGCGAAGCAGAAGGTGCCTCCCTTGCCTCCCTTGCCTCCCTTGCCTCCCTTGCCTCCCTTGCCTCCCTTGCCTCCCTTCCCTCCCTTGCCTCCCTTGCCTCCCTTGCCTCCCTTGCCGCCTGAGTCGTTTCCTTTGCCATCGATGCATAGCCTGCTCATATTGGCCACGCCGAGGCGGGTGGTGCCACACTACCCACGAGACTTCTCGGAGACTTCTCGGAGCCTTCCGTCAGGTACGACGCGTACGAGGCGGAGTACGACCGCGGGAAAGATGAAAAAAAAACTGTTCAGTTTTCAAAGGCAAAACATGACGCTCTGCGGTTGGTGCACCCCTCACACTGACACATTCCCCTCATCCCTTGCCCTTGGCTGAGCACATCTACCTGCGAGCTAGTCTCTCCGCATTCTCTCCCCTAGTCATCCGCCCGCGCCGCGCGCCATCTAATGGGCGTCTAGTGCAGCCACTAACGGCACTATTCCAAAGGAGCGGTCGATGCCTCGCCTAGAGTTCGGGTGGACTTGCGCACTGCTTAGCCCTGAGGGGGGAGTGTGTATGAGGTGGTGTAATGTTGTCCCGTTTCAGGCGGCAGGTCAGGGGATTAGCCGGGAGGATTCGGCAGCTCAGCCGGGGGCTCCAGAGGCCAGCCTCGGCGACGACACGCCCTTGTGTGGCCGGCGTACAGCTCACGGCTCCAACACCTCAATCTTCTTGGGCAGCAGCTGGTTCGACAGGTCCTCTCCGTGGCCTAGGCGGCCGCGCTCACGCCCCCCCCAGGTAAAGACGGCGCCGTCGGCGGTGCGGGCGAGGCTGTGGCCGTCCCCTGCCGAGACAGCGACGACGCGTTGTTGGCCAGCAAAGGCCTCGACCTTCTTTGGCAGCAACTGGTTCCGCGAGTCGCCGTGGCCCAGCTGGCCATCCTCTCCATCGCCCCAGCTCCAGCCGGCGCCGTCGGCGGTGATGGCGAGGCTGTGGTGCTCACCAGCCGAGACTGCGATGACGCGCTGGTTAGCAAAGACCTCGACCTTCTTGGGCAGCAGCTGGTCCTGCTGGTCGCCGTGGCCCAGCTTGCCACGGCCCCAGCTCCAGACGCTGCCGTCGGCGGTGCGGGCGAGGCTGTGGTATGTTCCCGCCGACACAGCGACAACGCGCTGCCCAGCCAAGGCCATTACCTTCCTCGGCTCCAGCTGCTGGTACTGCTCGTCGCCGTGGCCATGCTGGCCTCCACTGCCCCAGCTCCAGACGGCGCCGTCGGCGGTGAGGGCGAGGCTGTGGAAGCCTCCAGCCGACACAGCGACGACGCGCTGCCCAGCCAACGCCTCGACCTTCTTCGGCTGCCGCTGGGTCTGCGTGTTGCCGTGGCCCAGCTTGCCCCCACCTCCACCGCCCCAGCTCCAGACGGCGCCACCGGCGGTGAGGCCGAGGCTGTGGTGGGCTCCAGCCGACACAGCGACGACGCGTTGCCCAGCCAAGGCCTCGACCTTCTTCGGCAGCAGCTGGTTCTGAGTGTCGCCGTGGCCCGGCCTGCCATCGTATCCTGCGCCCCAGCTCCAGACGCTGCCGTCAGCGGCGAGGGCGAGGCTATGCACGCCTCCAGCCGACACGCTCACGGCGCGCTCGCCGCCCAGAAGAGGAGAAGGGAGGCGGGTCGGCGTGTTGAGCCGCGTCACACCCTCGCCGTGCCCGAGCAACCCGGGAGTATAAGACGGCGCTGAGCCGCACGACGAGAGCCGCCCCTCGCCGTCGATGAAGACGCTGTGCCAATATCCTGCGGCCGCCCTCGCCGGCGGGTTGGCCTTGCGCAGCAGCGCCGAATAGCACAGCCACCGCACGGCGCAGCCCTCGCCCTCTGGCTGCGCCGGCAGCTCGAAGCCGCGCTCTTGCGCCCACAAGCGGATGCCCTCCGCCGCAAGCGAGGCGTGGAAGAGCAGCGAAACGGCCGCGACGCGAGCGATGTCGGCGGGGTCGCAGCGAGAGAGGGCGCGCACGAGGAGTTCCGTGGGGAGGTCGAGGAGGCGGGCGGGCCGAGAAGTGCTTGGTGAGGGCGCGGCGGCGGCGGCGGGGGCGAGGCGGCGCGAGCGGCGGCGCGGCGGGGTGAACATCGCGAGGAAAAGAATTCAAAAGGCGAAGTCTCTCCAAGTGCTCCAAGTGCTCCAAGTGCTCTCGCACAGCACACAGGTTCGACACAGGTACCAAAAGAGGCGCAGCCTGCGACGGACCTTTAGAAGGCGCCGTCGTCCTCATGGAGGTGGGCACGATCGGGGGGACAGTCGAATCCGCGAGCACCGTAGTGCTCGCCGAAAAGACCATCCCCATCATCCCAACCCCCCCGGCGACCCCCTCGCCGCTTGCCCCGCCAGCGGGCACTGCGCGACCCACCCCCGCGCCCTCGACCGCGCCCCCCGCCAGGAGCATATCGCATCACCACCGCCCGATCCTCGTCGAAGAGCAGAATCTTTCCCGCCTTCACCAGCTCCTTCCACCCCTCCGTGTCCTGCAACGTCGTGGCGCCAGCCCATAGCTCCGGCCCTCCGTCGCAACATCCCGGCCCCTGTTCCGGCATAGCGTCCAAAGCCGCCCTAAACCTAGGGCAGCGCGCCGCGTCCCATGCCGCCTTCTCAGCCGCCTGATACGAGACGTGACGTATTCAGGATACCCCCTGTATCGGAGTTATGGTCCTGATTCGACCTGTGAACGTGAAGAGAGTGGTACCAGCACTGTCGATCGTTACGGCACGCAAGGGGGGCCTCCCGGACGTATGATCCTAGCCCAATAAGTTCCACGGAGCAGATTTGGATTTTTGACAGAATTAATGCACTGCCCCCGCACGGTACTAACTATCGTAGTTTTGGTCCCGGTGCCCTTCACGGCACCACACCGCCGCTTGAAGGCCCGAGATTAGCCTAGCAGTGAGTGGGCGTCGCCTGCCGGTCGGCTGGGCACGAGCCAAGCACTTGGGCGGCCGTCGACCGAGTCCGAGCGGCGCCTGAGGTGGGTGCCACGGCGTCCGCACGAAGGCGTGGCGGGGTGAGGAGCCAGGAGTGGTGAACACCTCCCCGTCGGGCGCGCGGCGCGCCGGATGGTCCGCCGAGGCCGCCGCCGCCCCGGCGGCGGCGGTGGGGCCGGCGGGGCCGACCCAGCCGGCGTTTGTCGGCTCCACCTACAGAGAAGCAGCCTCTGTGGGTCGACGATACTAACTCGGTAGTAACGCGGAGCGGTGCTGTGCGACGCCGCGTCGTGCGCGAGGCGACCTCCTGAGGCTACCTGAGCTGGCAATGGATGCCACCAGGACGCACGGCTAGCAGGAGCCAGTCAGGCATGCCCTGCTGTGGAGCAGAGCCAGCTGGCGCACCGGCGATACTAACTCAGCGCGCCGCGAGAGGCGAATCTGGGCGACTTTGGAGGCGCAGTTCTCGAGCTTGCCGTCGACGATTGATGTCGGGTAAATTGTCACTGCCGTCCGGGAAGGTCTTCTCTCAACAGGCCGAGCGCCGTGGCCTGGCTCGGCTCGCCGCGGGCGCCACGAATTTATCAGGACCAAAACTCACGACACCTCGATACTAACAAAAACACGATACAGGGGGTACTCAACCGAGCGAGGGGACGCAGGACCGCACGAACGGCGAAGATAACGAGAATCATAGAGAAGGCGCCCCCGCCGCAACAAGGACCGGACATAACGCACGAGGAGCCCGCGGCAGTGAGAGCGGCAGCGGCCAGACACGGAGAGCGGACGCTCAGGGCCGTCCCAGTAGCGACGAGGGTCATGGCGACGCTAATAAAAGTACTGCGCCAAAACAGCGACGGCGGCGGCGGCGACACCAGTGGCGCACAGAGGGGGAGGAAGAAGACGAACGAGACGACACGACCAGCGTGGTGGAGAGAGTATGCTGCACTTTGAATGCCGTGGGGCTCCTGCCCGTGTCCGGGTGTGGAGATGCGAGGGTCGCCCCCCCTTGCCCCACCACTTTGTGTGTGTGGAGAAATTTACCTTACCTTACCTTACCTTCCTACCTCCTCGGACGGTGGCTCAGCCTCGACCGTCCGAGCACGGGTCCGCAGGAGCTCGTCCTCAAGTTCGCACAGGTCGCCGTCGGGGTTGGAGCGGCTCGCAGTGCGGCGCGCCTCGTCCGCGAAGGCGCGCCAGAGCTGCACGGCGGTGCCATCGTTGATGGCGCTCACCCACGCGGCTGCGCGATGGCGCAGTTGGTCCGCGGGGCGAGGCTCGACCTCGCTGTGCGAGCGGAAGAAGACGGCGTTGTAGAGGTCGGCGCACAGGAAAGCGAGGCCGTTCGTCTCGCCATTCACGTCTTCGGCAAAGTGCTCGTGCGCAGCGACGACTGGCGCGAAGAGTTCCGCCTGGAAGCCAGAGTGGAGTGGGATCTCCTGTGCGCGGAGGCAGCCGCCAAGACTCCGCACGTCGGCGTCGATGTCAATGCCGCGGAGGCAGAGGAGGTTGTCGCCCGTGGTGATGGCAGGGATGGCGACGAGGCGGTGCGTGTCATTGGGGCGGGGGGCGGGTGCGCCAGGGGCGGCGGAGGGGGTCGGCGATTGCGCCGGCGCGGCTCCTTGGGGGCTGCCAGAGGGGGCGGGGGCGGGGATGGGGGCGGGGGCGCAGCAGGGGAGGCAGGAGCCGAGGGTGCCCGGCTTGGCGCGAGCGGCGACCGCAGACCGCGCTCGTTTCTCCGCCTCCTTCCACGTCTTGGCCGCGATCTGCAATTCTTTGTGAGCAGTCCTGCGCGTGATGTCGCCGCTCGTGCAATGGTTCAGCCAGCCTGAGTTCCCATTCTGGGTTGGTCGCGGGAGCACGCAGAACACCCCGCTGCAGATGTCGCATCGGTGGAAAGCGTGGTCGGCTAGCGCATCGTCGGTGTCGGCGGAGGATGGGTGAGCGGCAGCGCAGTGCTCGGCGAGGTGTCGCCGATCCGGGAAGGGTGTGGTTGCAGCCGTCAATGGGGCACTTGATGCCTCCGACTGGTGCGTTGTAGCCGTTGTACTTCGCCGCAAGGTCTTGGACCCTGTTGGTCGCTACGACGGCGTTGACAACGGTGATGTCAACCTCTCACAGACCAGCGCATAGCGCCATAGGACGTATTTTCTTCTCATAACAAGGCTGTGCTCTGTGTGTCTGTGAGGACGCCGTGCACCAATGGGCAATGGCGCGCTAACCTCGTCCGCGAGCGCTGTCCAGACACCAGAGCTGCACCGACAGTCGCTGCAGCGCAAACGGCATCCATGTATTCGCGCCCTGACCACGACGTCTGGTCGTACTGAGAGTCATGAACCATGGGAAGTAAAAGAGGAACTAAAACCAACACTACGGCTTTAAGCAGAGCCGCCGCGCCCCGCGCCCCGCCCGCCCCGCCCACCGCGCCCGCCACGTCCACGCCCCCCTCGCCCGCCTCGCCCACTGCGCCCCCCTCGCCCGCCTCGCCCACCGACCGCCGCCGTGGCGCCCACGGGCTGAGCCTGGGGCGCGGGGCGCGAGGGCGGCTGGTGGACAAACGTCGTCTGCGCCGCCACCAGCCGCCCAGTTGCGGCGATGGGCAGCGCCGGCTGGCGGCAGGCCGGGCAGTTGCTGTCGCGCTCCAGCACGCGCGGCGCACACGTCTCGCAGTACAGCGCGTGGCCGCACGCGAAGCGGACCGAACGCAGCGCGTTCCATGGCTGTGGACGGCGCCCTTCGTCACTTTCCAAATTCACCTTGTTTGTGCCTCCATGCGGCGCATCTCCCTTCCCAGTTTTCGTCGGCACGTTCGCACGCGCAGCGAGCCAGTATTGGACCAGTTGGACCAGGCGCAGCGAGAAGACAGTCGAGACCAGCTGCGCGTGGCGGCCCAGGCGCTGATCTCGGCAGTCAACGCCGGGAACGCGCCGATAAGCGAGTTGACCGAGATTATCCAGATGCTCAGCGTGGCGCAGCGGATGCCGGACACCGTCACGAGTCCCTGCTGCGCCGCCAGCGCGGGAGAAAGTGCGGCGGCTCAGAGCCCGAGCGCGGGCGACGGGGCGCACCACGACTATCTCTCCGAATACTCATCCTCCGCAATCGTTGCGAGGCCTTGGGGCGGGGGGCGGGCTCCTGCGCCCCCTGTCCGTTCCGGGACTCCGGCCGAGTACCCTGATCGCTCGCCCATCCGTGGCTTCCTCATTGACCTGGACGGGAGAGTCGCAGTGGGGCGGCGGAGGAGGCCACAATTGGCACCTCTCGGACTCACGGCCCTCCGAATAGGACGATGTACGAACCCGAGGGCCTCCTCCCCGGTGCCGCCGCCTTTTATGACTGGTTGAATGCCTCGCGTACGCCGCACGTCTTCCTCTCCAACACGGGCGCCAAGAATTCGGGCGGCGTGCAGAAGAAGTTCGGCTCGCCGCCGTTTGAGCTCAGCGAGAAAAAGGTGCGCCGCCTTGAATGCCGTCCTGGGGCTCCCTGGAGTTGCGAAGTCTACCACACCTTGCCTTAGGTGCCCCTCTCGTGCATCCTCACCGCCGCGGAGACACAGGTCGACTACCTGCTCAAGGAGGTGCCCCGCGGCGCGCGTCTCTTCGTCGTGTCCGGCGGCAGCGGCACGTGGCGCGAGGACCTCCTCTCGCGCGGCGGCGCCGAGGGCGCGGCGCTGGTTGGGACGTGGGACGTGCGCACCTCGCTGTCGGCTGGCGAGGCCAAGGCGTGGGCGGCGCACCAGGCGCTCTGCCGGCACACTGCATCAAAGGCGGTGTGGGTCGTGTTTTTTCACGACGGCGAGGTGGGCGGCTCCGGCTCAGAGACCAAGGACTGGAGCTTCGAGGTCATCAAGATTGCAGGCTTTCGGCCTGCTCTAACGCCCCCCCCCCCCCCCCCCACACACACACCCTCTCGCCCCCGACCCTAACCCTCGAGCAGGCTTCCTGCTCTCGCACGGCGCGCAGCTCGTCTACACAGCGGACGACGCGTACAACCCCTCCGTCGACCCGGACCACCCCGGCCTCGTCTTCCCGCTGCCCGGGCCCGGCAGTAGCAAGCAACTGTACATGAACGAGCGACACCCTCTCACCACGTCTCGAATGGCTAAACATAGGCCCGGGATGTTCGCCGGGATGATGCGCACGCTGATGTACCCTGCGGGCAGCGAGTCGGTCGCGTGCGCGGGCAAGGGCGGCAACAGGGGCGGCGAGTACATGATGGAGCGGGCGCGGCAGATGCTCGTCGCCCAGGGCCACGACGGAGACCCGTCCACAATCTGCATGGTGGGCGACCGCTTCGACACCGACATCCGCGCAGGCGTCGCTGCGCTCCGCGTGTAGTAGTAAGCAAAACATTGCACCCTGAAATCATGGCCTCGGTGGCCTCTGCCGGCTCGAGCACTAACCCCTCGTGGCGTCTCTGCACCGTGGCATACCCCCCCCCCCTCCCCCCCAGGCCTCTCCGCCGGCTTCCGCACGTGCTTGGTTTTGAGCGGCTGCCACAATCTCGACGCCCAGCGCCACTACCCTTCGGACGTCGCAGACTATTTCGCGAACGGCGTCGGAGAGTTGGTGCCGCAGGCGGCGCGGCCGGACAGCCTGAGAGAGGAGAGCCTCACAGGCTGGGTGGGCACCTCAGCCAGTTCACGGCGGGGGGCGCGCCCGCAAGTGTCGCCCGCGGAGGAGCTGGTGGAGTGGACTCTCTCGCAGTCGAGCCTGATCCGCTCGGGGCGCGGTGACGCCGCCCGCGCCGCGCTGCGGCCGGTGCTGCAGCGGTACTTTGACGCGATCGACGTCAACGGCGATGGCGTAGTCGATGAGGCGGAGCTCATGAGCGGGTTGGAGCAGGTGGGGCTAGGCAGGCTGGTGCGGCACAGCGGTGGCGGCCTCTCCTCGTCCCAGTTCGTGCGCCTTGTCGAGGAGGCGAGGCCTCGCCGAGATTGCGCCGAGATCGCCCGTGAGATGGCAGCGAGAGCGTCAGACACGCCTCGCGGCCTGATAACCGTGGCCTCCCCTGCCCGACCCACCGCGCAGTCCCTATGCGAGTGCGGCGTCGGCGAGTCGACACAAAGTCGGAAGCGCGCCAAGACACCGCTTCAGCACCTGTGCCGCACCCTCCCGGGCGAGAATGGCTTGTCGCCCCTCGCGTCCCGCGTTGCCGCCACCGCCACTAGCACTGGTGTCGCAATGGGTGTCGCGGCGTCCTCGGCATTGGGGTGGTGGGAAGTTCGCGCCGAAGGCTCATCATCTACATGACAGCCGGCCGCGTGACAGCCGGCACCGCGACAGCGCCAGCCGCGGCCGCTCCGCCTACGGCGCGCGCGGCGACCGGCGCGGATCGGAGGGCGAGCGGGCGGGCGAGGGGTGGGGCGAGCGGGGAGGGCACGACCGGTCGGAGCGGCACAAGCTGCCGCGGTACGAGATGGGCGCGTATGGCAGCGCCTGAGGAGGCGGCGCACGCCCGCGGAGCATCCTCGAGGGTTCGACATGCGCCGCGGGGGGGCGCGCCGAGACGGCGCGGCATCGAGGCGCTCCCGCAGACTGCGCTGCCTCGGCACGCTGCCTGCCGAGGCGCGCGCACTTTGCACAAGCGGCGAGGCAATGTCGAGAGGGCAGAGGCGGGGTAGGCAAGCCCATGTTGCGATGGCAGAGAGAGCGGGGTAGGTCATGTTGCGAGGGCAGAGGCGGAGTAGGTGGAGCTCATGTCGAGAGAGGCTGGGTAGAGAGAGTAGGGTAGAGAGAGGCTGGGTAGCGGGGGAGGGTGACGAGGCATGCGCCTCGCGCCCGCCCACCAGAAAGAGAGCGCGCCGATCAGAGAGTGGCGCGTCTGCGCCTTATGCGCCTAGCGGTAGCGGAGGGGGGGAGAGATAGATCAGAGACTGAGGTGTGAGGACCCGTAAGTGATGTCCCACATGTTCGGCCTGCCGTCGGGCCAGGAGGCTCCTCAGTGGGCGTCTGTTTTAATTTGCATAATCCATTAAGTCAAATTCTGTCAAACACGTCACGCGGGATCCCCCAGGGCCCCCAGGGCCCACAGGCCCTAGCTGGTTGCGAGGGACGACGACGCCCGCCCCCCTTGTCCGTTCTAGGTTAAAGCCGTAGGTTAGAGTACATGTTTTGCCAACAATACACCTAAAACATGTACATGTGAAGGGTGTGGCCCGTGAACAAAATCCGGGGACGCGACCCACCTCGCCACAGACGGTCCCGCGCCTCGCCGCTATGACGGGGACACACCCCGCACCGTCCGCCGTGTCCCCGTCTTTGTCCGGAGTGAAAAGTCCAACGCGCTCGTCGGTGACGGCGTCCCCGGATTTCGCCGCGCTCGGCGAACCTCGACAGCGCTTTCGGTGGCACGCATCTCTTTGCGCCTGAAGCTTGGAGAGCAGCTCCTCTGCTGCTCACACGCTCTGCACAGTTGGCACAGCCTACTGTGCGGCTGCCACAGCTGTGACAGCGATGGGCTCGCCCTCACTGGCCCTCAGTCACTTGTGCTGCGGCTTGTGTGAGCGACACTGCTCGACGACTGCCGGCACACTGTGAGACCGTGGGTGTGAGGTTAAACCACGCTACCAGCGCTTGGTCACATCGGCCCCGAGGTCAGATCCTTCTACTCTGTTGATGACAAGACTTGTCTACTGGCTGGAGCCGAGCAGGAGGGCCCAGCGCACAACCCCTGTCCAACTCAGGGTCCACACCCCGTAGGAAGGTGAAGAACAGCCAGGCTCGGACTGGACACCAACGCGGTATGGGTGGACGCGAGACAGATGATCAGTAACCAGCCTCCGGCGGGGCCCCCCGCTACCATCCAAACCCGAGTACAAAGCGCGCCTCCTGCGCGCCTCTCCGAGGCGCTGCGCAGATGGTCTACGAATCATAGAGGCTCAAGTGACAACACCTGAGGCAAACCCCACTTTGGGACCTATTTGAGGCGGTGTGGCGGCTCTCACAGGGCACGGGAAGCTCTCCCGCCGCGTCTGCGTGGCCCGCCCGAGCCGCGGGGAACGGCGCGCGCCCCTCCCGGCGGAGCTGGGTGCGGCAGACGGGCCCACGGGTCGGTTCCGGGCCGATTTGGGGCCGTTCTGTCTAGTCCTGGGTCAAAATCGAGCTAGACAGTTAAAAATCTCGCCCCCACGGATGGTACTTTTTGATTTTTCTAGCCACGATCGTCGACCGGGCCCGTGAGGCCATGGGAACGCCCTCGGATTGTACAGCACCCTCCACTAGCCACAACCGCGGGCCCTCAACCGCGTATCGGTGTCGCGGCAAAATAGCCTTCAGACGCTGTCTCGTCGTTATAAATCGGCCAATCTGGCCCCTCTGCCACAAGTTTTGCTTTGGGACGCACCGCAGTACGGCGGAGTCGAGATCCGGCGCGCAAACATCAAAAGTACCACGAATCGGGCCCGGCTAGACCTGCCACACCGGAGGCGCGCAAAATGGAGGCGATTTTGTGGTGGTAAAGCGCAAGATGGCCAGAACGGGGCGCCGCGCGCTCGGGAGCGCTCGCCGCTCGCAGGCCAACTCCTCCCCAGCACGGTGCGTGCGTGCGCTCAGGTTGAACTCGATGCCGCGACTTCACAGCCTCCGCCGTGAAGCTGCAGCGCCGAATCGGACGCTTTGGCAGCGCTTCGCCGGCTGTCATCCCAGTCCATGGTCGCTCCACATCGATTCCCAGGCGTGCCCGCACGCTCCTCAGGGGAGTGGGCACGCCTCTTGCTATCCTGAAGCGCGCGTCAAGCCCGCTCGACCGTGAGCTTGCTCAGCGAACAGTTTTTCAACAGACGTTGAGCGACGGGCGTGAATCTCCCACACACTCGCCAACTCCTGACTGAGCAGGCCTAGTACCCACGTGATAGCCCCACTGATCCATCCCATGCGATCAGGCGCCGCTCGGACCCCATCTTCGAGCAGGATTCCTCGCGGCAACACAACTCGCCGCTCTCGATGTGCGCGCTAGGCAGTCTCAACGCCGATTACTGCCGAGCGCGCACGACTCGTCGGCGTACCGGCGTGCCGCTGGCATACTACGCGACGGTGGAGGCGCGTGGGCTTGCTCAAAAGGCATGCATCTGTCGGAGAGCGTGCCGCAAGACCTGATGTGCCTCCGCTCCAGGTGTGTGGCAGTTCGATGGATCCAGCCCAGCGACCTCCACGTGACGATTGAGGACTGCTCTTCCCCTTCGGCCGAGCCTCCAGTCCCTGCCACCGTGCACTGGCGCCAGCGAGCTGCATTTACATCCCGCACGCGCGATCGGCAGTCGAGTTACAACCCGCAGCTGTGCTGTGTGCGCGCGCACTCGAAACGTGGTTCGGCGATCTCTCGGCGACCACTCGTCGACTCGCGCTCGGACGCGAGGTGCGTGCTCGCCTGCCTCCCCCGGGAAGGACACGGCCATTTTCAGCGAGATCTGTGGATCATCCTCACCACCCTGCCCTCACGCCACCCAACCCGTCCGGCTGCTGCCATACTGGGACATGAGTGCAATATTTGTGCTGCCCTCGCCATCCGACGCGTGTGCTCCGCTCCCCGCAGGCGAGGATCGCCGTCGCGCACCAACACGCTTCGTCCGGGAGGCGCGCGGCGCGACCCGCGTTGCGAGAGCGTCGGCGGAGCCCGCGTGCCGGCCCTCACTCTCTGGGCCGGCGCGGGGCCCCCCGGAGGCACCGTGCGCCGCGCAGCAGTGCGGAAACGGGGCTCCGGCTCCGCTAGTCTCAGCTAGGACCAACTTACCGAATGGTTACGGTTGGTTAGAGGGCAGATTTGGAGAGATCTCGAGGAGTACACACAGATAGACCCTCCAACCATCAGAAAACTCCAACCTGATCGGTCGTACTGACCGCCGACAGATCACTCCCCAGACAGCAGACACCAAGGACCGCCGCAAGCGGCGTGGCGTGGGGCGGTTGAGCATCCCTAGAGGCGTCACCACATGCTGGCCCTGCCCACTCCGCCGTATTCGCTATTCCGCCGTAACATGTCGCCGACGCCTCCCTGCCCACTCCCACCCGTGATGCGAGACGCACCCCTACTTCTTCTCGTAGGACGGCAACGCGTCGCACCCGTCGCCCGTGTAGCCGTCCTCGTCGACGAACGACAGCAAAATCTTCTCGATGTCGTAGTACCGGCCGCCCGGCTTGAACATCTCGATGTGCTTCTGCCACTTGGCGTCGGGCCCCGCCTCGCCGAAGCGCCCCTCGTGCCACTTGACGATGTCGGAGCAGTCCACGCCCGCGCAGAAGGCCCGTTGCTGGAAGGTCTTGATCGTCGCCGCCGCGCCCGCCGAGAGCAGCGGCATGATCGTCACGTGCTGATAGAACTGCCACAGGTTCTGCACCGGGTCGTCGTTGCAGAGGAAGTTTTGGTCGTGGCTGCGTTCGCGCGCGCACGGGCGGTGAGAAGGCGGCGGCGGTGGCGCGGGCGGTGGCCGGCCTGCACCTGTTGACGACCTCGAGCTCGGCGAGCGCCGCGCGCTGCGCGTCGTCGATCGTGATCGTCTTCCCGTCGTCGAGGAGGTCGGGGAAGGAGATCGTCGAGCCGAGCGGCGCGTGGAGCAGCCCGTCCGACGCGTACGCCGTCTTGTGCGCCGAGGGGAAGAGGTAGATGAGCTCCTCAGCGCCGGCGCCGAGCTTCTTCTGCCACACCGGCCGCATCTCCGCCGGCTTCACCGCCTGGAGGCCGTCGCCGCGGCGGTACGACGCGTGGAGGAGGCCCGCGACGCAGACGTCTTCCTGGCATCCCCACTCCTTCAGGAGGAGGTAGCACGAGATGAAGTGGTCGGCGATCGTGCGGTCGAAGCCCGAGTGGAGCGCGTGCGTCACCTTCTGCTCGATCGTCTTCGCGCCCGACTCCTCGATGATCTCCATCAGGTGCGCCGGCACGTCGCCGGTGGAGATCTTCAACCGCTCCTCGCGCTGGCGCATCTTCGTGACGCCCTCCGCCGACACCTCGAGCTGCGCGCTCTCAATCATCCACTCGTAGAACTCGTCGGCGCACACCGATCCGCCCGCGTCCTTGTCCATCTCGGTGAACATCGCGGCCTTCACCTCGGGCGTCCAAGCCACCGAGGAGAAGTACGGCGCGAGCATGTCGAGC